TAACTCTGTTTTCTTGATGGATTTACGGAGTTCACTTCCCAAACCTTTCAGTGGCTGAGACAGAATTGTATTTCAAAATCCCCCTTTTTGCAAGTTTTCCAGTGCACCCAGAAATGTGCATAGTAGAGCACTGTGTGCACAAAATCTGTATATTTAAGAAAATACTGCTCTAAACAGTATTTCAGCACTATCAATATATACTTTTAAGATGTGCACAAAAACAAATGCATTACAAAATTCATATAAATGCCCACACAGCTTTTTTAAGAAATTGCATATTCTTACATAAATGGGTTGGAATTCATTTGATCCTAAATAAACAGCAACCTCAGCTTAACCAAGATCGACAGATGTGTCTATCTGTACTGGACCTTGGTTGCACAGAAGACTAAATTCCGTGTTAAAGGGGAGAAAGGTGAACAGCAAAGGGAGACTGGGGGTGGGAGATTGCTGCTGTCCTTCCTCTCAAAGCTGTTAACGGTCTTCCACATACCAGCTTGGGTGGGAGCACAGTGCAATAGGAGCATAGCAGTAAAAGCAAGTGATCAAGAAACCATGGTTGAAACTTTTCATTGTCAAAAAAGTATTGCACAGTCTCCATTGTGTAACTATTGTGCCATGGGCTGCTTTGCTCTCTTGGACACAGATATAGATGGATGGGTGGATGCCCAACAAACGGGCTAATATCCAGTGGGGCCCAACCAGTTTCTCAGATCATGGCTGGCTGGGATGGATGAAATTTAAGAAATAAATTGATATGGTGCTGTTTGCTATGGACAAGAAAAAATGAATTCTTTAGAAAGGTCGTTTGGAAGGGTTGTTTTGCATGCAGTGTGCTGTTCTGCTGTTACACCAGGCACAATCTGCATCATTCAAGAAAGGGGTTATTGCTGTGCACGTGTGATGCTTCCTCTCCCAGTGGAGAGGCCATATCATTTGGAAGCTTCTTAGATTAGGTTCAGTGTCTCAGCAGGTCTACTACTCGTTTGTGCTTGGATATGGGTAAGTGCATCAGTGCATCCTAATATGGGAAACCTCTTTTCATTTGAGAAGGACAGAGAGAATCAAAATTCTGTAGACATTTAATCTTTGCATGCAGCCCACGTCTTTGCTCCATTGGAGTTCGGTATGTTGATTGTTGTTACTGATGGAACCCATGAGAACGTCTAAAGAAAGAACATATTTTGGTCGAATACATCAGTACCACAGGAAGGACCCACATATTGACTTGATGTGTCTTTACCTAGATACGAAAAAGGAAGAAAGGTGGGGGAATACCAGTCCTGTCCTGTATTGTAAACAAATGTGATTGTATTACATAGTTTGGTAGAGTTAGCCTGTGCCATTTGACCTTGTGTATACTTCTGAACTGTGAAAGTCAAGGAAGATGAGGCCTTTACTCACGGCCAATATGTGGCATGAACCTGTTCAGGGGCAACAGACTGACATACAGTGTTAGCATGGGGAGAAGCATAACACATCTCTCCCCACCCTTCATTTCTTTAAGATTTAATGGCTGTAGTCCTGTGCTGTATTGTAACCATCACCTTGTACTACAGGCACAGGCCTATTTCTATAATCTGAATTTCTCTATGCCATTAAGTTCCCAAGAAATCATATCAAAATGGGGAAAGGTGATTGTTTTCCCCTAGGTTGGGCTCCAGCACATTTAGAGTCTGTTTATATCTGTGCCTCTTTTGGATTGCACCTTTCAGCTTACTTGTGCATACCCTGATTCCTGTCTTCAGCTCTTTGATGGTACAAATGGAACTCAGACTTGTTCTCCTTTTCTTACTTATTTTCTCCCCTCCACAGCCCTATTCTGTTTAATGGTTCCTACCCTTGAGAAGGATGTGTGAAGGATGACAATTCACACAATTACTGTAGCTTAAACAGATCATGGTGACTCCTTTAAACAGTGAAACATGCTGGGCACTATTTGCCTAATTACCTGCCTGAATGTGGCTTACTATGTCATCCAAACCTGGAAAGCATGGATTTTTTGAGGGGAAAACAATTCTCAAATAATTCAAGGACAGGCTCGTTTAAGCTGTGGTGATCATGCTCTATGTATATCACTGTGTATAATAGTGATTGGACTCACACCTAGCGGCTTGTTTAAGTTTTCAGGTGTTTGTGGCTGCCTGTTCTATAAACTAACCTCCCTTCTTAGACCATATCGTGTGAACCTCACAAGGTGGATGTTGGCATGGTTAATAGCCAACCACAACTCTAAAACAGACAATGGGTTAATTACTCCAACAGCCCACCCTTGCCATATTTGCATGACACAACAACCTGTAATGGGCACCTGGTTTATGGAATGGGTACCCATTGGTACTCATAAATCATGATGGCTTGAGTCACCAGGGGTCCTTTCAATCAAGTGAACATGGCCAGTATGACGCACCACTGGAAAAGGGGAATCATTCCATACCTTTGAATGCTTTTCTCAAGAGTAGTCTATCTGCATGCATACCGTAGCTCTGCAGATCATGTGACGCTATTATCCAGGCTTCTCAGTGGTCAGGTTCTCAACTGAAGCTATCTTTGCATTGGCTTGCTACTGCAGGCAGTTGATAGGTTGGAAGGGCCTCCTAGCAGCCCCTGAAAGGGTTTATTGGTAAATAGCAAGCCACCCATATTGTTGGGGGCTAAGTTCCCCCCTTCACACATTCAAAGCTACAGACCATTCCTTTGCAAATGTTCTTTAATCTCCAAATTAAATCCAGTAAGCACAATCACCACAAAAGAAGTCTGTGAGCATGCACAGAGCAGTTCATTTAACCCAATCTAGCAACTACTTCCCATGCTTCCTCCAAGCAGATCCTGGCTATTCTCAGAGTCTGCCTGAACATCTGGAATGGGCAGCCTTGCGATAAGCCCTCTGCTTCCCCCATCACAATCTCTGGGAGTGCTGCTTCCCTGGGTCCTGCCTCCGCCTCATCTGACAAGTCCAGGTTTGCTGGACTTGCACAACCTTGGAATGCATGCCAAGAACAACTTCCCCTTTCATTCCCAGCACACATTTTACAGAATGTGTATAGTCTAAACTTGAGGAGTTACAACTATATAGGTATGAAACTGATTTCTTGTATACATAGATAATGAAGGGCTGTTTGTTTGAGAGTACTGTGCAGACATAGAGAATACTCCACTCATCTATAGTTAAGTTCACAGCTACTCTCATTCATCAGTTTACTAGTTATTCCTCATGGATACTGTCTGGGTGTATGTAATATACAAATGTTGTTGTGTGCTATTAAGTTGTCTCTCCAACTTATAGCCATCTTATGAATGAATGTCCTTCAAAATATCCTGGGCTCGTCAACTCTGCTCAGCTATTACAAACTCAAGATTATGGTTTCCTTTATGGAGCTAATCCATCACATATTTGGTCTTCTGCTGCTGCTGCTTCTCTGTCTTTGACTTTCCCTAGCATGATTGTCTTCTCCAGTGGCGTGCTCAAAGCTCAACAGCTTTAGTTTCATCATTTGGCTTCCAGGACAAGCTCTGACTTGATTTGATGTAGGATCTGCTTGTTCGACTCTCTGTCAGTCCTGGGTATTCACAAAGCTTTCCTCCATCTCTTGTTGTGACAAAGCTCAGCAGAATCAGTCCCTCCAGTGTTCATGGACGTCCTTTTCTGCTCAGCCCTGTCTTAGAAAGTGGGCCAAGCTGAGAGAAAGTCTGCAAACACTCATGGAACAAAGGTTGTGCTACTGATAACCTTCTTCAACTTCATGTGCAGCACAAACACAGAATACTGCACATGATGCAGAAAAAGGATGCCTCTTGCGCAGTATTCCCATGGGACTCAATTCCTGGTTAGCTCCATGTAAACACAGGGTACGCTTGCCAGGAACTCAGGCTCATGACTGTGACAAAGCAGACAAGAGCCTGGGGACCCAAGTCCAGAGAATCCAATGGAATCCCATTCCCAAAATGAATTCTTCATGCTTCCCTACCATGATTTGAAAGCATCAATTTTCTTCTGTAACCATGATTGTTCATTTTCTTAATGTTCAGCTGCAGTCTTGCTTTTGCGGTTTCTTTTACTTTCAACGTAAGTTGTTTCAATTCACTGGTCCATTCTACCAGTAATATGGGATCATCTGCATAGTTTCAGTTAATTCAGTTCCATTCTTTTCTGTGATCCTAATCCAGCTTTCATTATGGTGTGTTCTGTGTACAGATTGAACAGACAGGGAGATAAAATACACCTTTGTCTGACATCTTTGCCTGTAGAAAACCATTCTGTTTCTCCATATTTGTCTTGACAGCTTTTTGTCCATAAAACAAGTTACACAACAGGATGATCAAGTGCTGAGGCATCCCAATTTCTATGAGAACCATCCATACCCTCTTGTAATCCACACAGTCAAAGGCTTTGCTGTAGTCTATAAAGCACAGACTGATCATAGTCTGAAATTTTTTGGTGTACTCTAGTAATCAACATTTATAGAAGTATCACTTCCAAATTCCTAAGCATCTGATGAAACAAATATTTTTGATATTATGCAATAGTGACCAGATAATGTATTTGTCCCATTTTCTTTATTAATGTTGTTTAATATTTATTAATATTCCCAAACCTATGGCCTGGGTTACATTTATAGTAATTATAGTTACCATGGCCCAATAGGACTGTTAGTGCAGAATACAAGTTTAATTAATTACATTACATTGCACAGTGTGGTTGTTGCTGCCTTCTGTAACTGATTCCATGCTGTTTCAATGGCATGGATGTCTTCCATCCATCTTACTAGAAGGTTAAAACGTTGCTTACTACACTATTAGTATCTGCTCTAGTGGGGATTATTCATGCATGCAATCTGCTGTAACCACATGGTCAAAACCACACTTCCAAACTGGTGTGGAAACCAGTTAAAGGTATCATGAACAGCAGGAACTGAATATGTTGAACTGAATATGTTGAACTGAAGCAGAATTTTTTATATTCAGGTCTTTGGACATAATTTCTTGTTTTGTTTTTGTAGTCCATGTATGATAGACAAGGGATTGCTGTGATGCCACCTACAGTACCTGGGAGTCCTCAAGGCCCATTTCTGGGTGTACCACGAGGTACAGTCAGAAGACAAAAATCAATAGGTAAAGTATCTTTTTCTACCCTACATACAGAGTAGATTCTTCTTTTATTTTTAACTTTAGCTTATATTGTTTTCATCAAGTTAGAGTCAAATGAATTTATTCATTTCTTAATTTTGAACCTTAATCAAATTGCATGTAACAAATAACCATTACATGTGGACACAGTGACAAGGTTCACACAACATGAGTATGGCTTGATTATGGGTTGTTGTTGAGCTATAGAGTTAATCTGTCATGTGAACCTAGCCATGGGAACCCTCAAAGAAAACCCATGCTTTCTTGTTGAGCTGTTTGGTTGTTTGTGGTTGACAAACCACAACTGCATTCACATCACAGAATAACCACAGTGCAACAATGTCCTTTGGTGGTAAACCAGTCTCAGCCAATACTCAAGCTTGAGTGCGGGTTGCATGTAGTGCATCTATTTGTAAACTTGATGGAATATCTGAATTAGAATGTATACTCTGCATTATACAAGTCTTTCAGTAGTTTGTAATATTATGGCTTAAGCACTTGCACACTTTAGTAGAAACAGTCATCCAAACATAAGTGTACAAAATAGCATTTAGACATACAAACTTGATAGGCAGACTGTCCCTATTGAGAACTTCCAAATCTAATCAAATTGAATTTGTATGTTTAATCTGTATGTTCTTTGAATCAAAAACAGCTGTACCTGCATATCTGAAACTGTTTTAGGATTCCAATCTCCAGTTTAAAAAAAATCATAAGGCTACAGTTTTACAAATGTAAGAGGAATACGCATCAAAGAATAACAATACTCCTAAGAGTTACACAAATTGGTGTTTCAATAAAACAATCTTCTGTAGCTCACCTTTGTAATCTATTCAAAATAATGATAGTGAGCTGCTGAGCTGTATGAATTTAATAATTATCTATTTTTTGTAGAAGTATTTGGCTATTTAATAAGAAAGTTGTATATATTGAGCAAAATTAATCAAATATTTTGCTCTTTGAAAATGTCATTTCCTGTAAATTATGTTTTAGCCAAATTGGTGTTCCCTTTTCCTTCCCCACTTTTGCACATGCTGTTTTTGCCAGAATATATCTGAAAAGAGGTGTTTAATAAAACATATGTAGTAGATTTGGTTACTGAGAGACAACACTTTTCATGCCCTCCCTGCTTCTTTTATTGGGAGGGAATGTTTAGTTCCTTGGTAAAATAATGTTTTTCCTGCATAACTTAAGGATCATCTAGTGCAGCTTTCCCCAACCTTGTGTCTTCCAGAAATGTTTGGACTGCAACACCCATAATTCCCAGTCAGTGGCCCTGATAGATGGGAATTCTGAGAGTTGTGGTCCAAATGCCACCAGGTTGGGCAAGGCTGATCTAGTGTAATGTATATTCTCTGAAGTTACATGGAATGGTAATCTGTGTGTAGCTAAATAGTCCCTCTTTTTAGTGGTGTTGTGGAATGAGCGTACATCAATAAGTTAGCTATACAAATTATTTATTTCAGAGATTATCTATGTAAGGTATGTATCCCTGAAACATCAAGTTTTTTTAATTGCACTAGAAAATATCACTAGTAACTTGTGAAGTCAGCACCTGATATCCCATCCTGTCACTATTAGTGCTTCTAGTTTTCCAGCATGAAATGTAGCATCTCACACAGTGCTATCACTGCTATGACCCTTGTTTATTTGGACACATGTTTCACACTGCCTCTCAGGTGATCCCTTTTGTCTATGCAGACATATTGTTTTATTTTATTTCCTGCATGGCAACCTATTCACAAATGCTCACCTGTGCAAAGATACATGCCCTTCCGTCCTTCCTTCCTTCCTTCCTCCTTTCCTTCCTTTCCTCCTTTCTTTCTTTCTCCAACCTTGCAAGATCCTTGGCTGGCACCTCCTCCCTTTTAGGCACACTTTAGAAAAGCACAGCTGTCTGTAAATATATGTAAGAAAAAGAAGAGAGACACTCTGACAAGCCCAAGTCAAGGTCTACAGAAACGTATTGTATTAGTGTAAATGTAACCTAAAGCCATAAAAAGCATAGCATAAGTAAAACAATATTGGATGTACCTTTTTTAATGTCTTTGATGATTAAGGCATACTATGCTAAGGACAATGTAAACATTGTAGCTTGTTCTTTTTGAAGGGATAACAGAGGAAGAAAGACAATTTTTGGCTCCCCCCATGCTAAAATTTACCAGAAGTCTATCCATGCCAGACACTTCTGAAGATATTCCTCCTCCACCACAATCTTTACCGCCATCACCACCACCTCCTTCGCCTTCTCCTTCTCCTTCTCCTTCTCTTTACAACTCTCCCAAATCTCCAATGTCTAGAATATATGGAACTATTAAACCTGCATTTAATCAGAATTCAGGTTCAAAAATGGTTGCTTCAGGTAGATCTGAAAATATGGGGACAGTGATAAGGGACAAAGGCATATATTACCGGAGAGAGATGGACCGCTATTCTCTAGATTCTGAGGATTTATATAGCAGAAATGCCGCAACTCAGGCAAACTTCAGAAACAAGAGAGGCCAGATGCCGGAGAACCCCTACTCTGAAGTTGGAAAAATAGCAAGCAAAGCAGTATATGTCCCAGCCAAGCCAGCAAGGCGAAAGGGAATGTTAGTGAAACAATCTAATGTTGAGGATAGTCCAGAAAAAACTTGCTCCATTCCAATTCCAACCATCATTGTTAAAGAGCCATCTACCAGTAGTAGTGGGAAAAGTAGTCAAGGAAGCAGTATGGAAATTGACCCACAGTCTTCAGAACAACCAGGGCAACTCAGACCTGAAGATAACTTGACTGTCAGTAGTCCATTTGCAGCAGCCATTGCGGGAGCAGTGAGAGACAGGGAGAAAAGATTAGAAGCCAGGCGTAATTCTCCAGCTTTCCTTTCCACAGATTTGGGAGATGAAGATGTTGGGCTAACACCTCCAACGCCACGTATGAGACAGTCTAAATTTAGTGAGGAGGGAGTGTTTGGTAGTGAAGATAGTTTTAGGCAACTTGTGTCAGTATCTCCTATCCCAGCACCTAGAGAGTCTGAAAACATTTTTAATAGTAGTGAATCAAGTAACCAGGGTGATGCAAGGACACCTAACTCTTCAGCTCAAACAGTGGGTTGTGAAAACAATACATTGGCAACTCAGAATGCTGGTATGTCAAGTTTGGATAACTATGTTCATCCACTCACAGGGAAATTATTGGATCCAAATTCACCTTTAGCCCTTGCCCTTTCTGCCAGAGATCGGGCCATGAAAGAGCAAACCCAACAAGTTCCAGGGAAAGGAGAACCTGGCAAAGCTGACCACTTTAATAAGCCACTTTACATCGATACAAAGATGAGGTCTAATATAGAAACGACGTTTCCCGTGACAGCTACAGTTGCTAGGCAAAATACGCGTGGTCCTCTAAGAAGGCAGGAGACAGAGAACAAATATGAGACCGATTTGACAAAAGAGAGGCGGCCTGAGGAAAAAAAGAACATGCTGATCAATATTGTGGATACCTCGCAGCAAAAGTCAGCTGGTTTGCTTATGGTTCATACGGTAGACACAGCCCAGTCCAATGATACCCCTGAGAATGAAGAGGAAAGTGCTGAGATGGACATGACTACTGAAAAGCCTCTGCCAGAAGCACAGGAAAGTACAGAAACAGCAGAGAGTGGACCAGATGATCCTGGCATTCCTGAACCACCACCATCTCCCTGTAAAACTATTGTAGCCATTGGCTCTGTCGATGATCCTATCATTCTGCCATTCTGCATCCCTCCACCTCCTTTAGCATCTGTCGACCTTGATGAGGATTTCATCTTTACTGAGCCATTACCTCCTCCTTTAGAATTTGCTAACAGTTTTGATATCCCCGACGACCATTCAGTTCCAGGCTCTGCACTAACAGACTTGCTCAAACAGAGAAAAAATGGAACCCCATCCACTTCATTTAATCACATTCAGCCCTCAAATTCAGTAGACAGTAAGAAGCCAGTGGGTCTTGCCAACTGTTTGCCTGCCTCATTTTTACCACCCCCTGAAAATTTTGATAATGTCACTGACTCTGGGATTGAAGAAGTGGACAGTCGAAGCAGTAGTGACCATCACCTGGAGACAACCAGCACTATCTCAACTGTGTCCAGCATCTCTACCTTGTCTTCTGAAGGTGGTGAGAACTTGGATACTTGTACAGTCTATGCAGATGGGCAAACATTTCTGGTGGACAAACCCCCAGTACCTCCTAAGCCAAAAATGAAGCCCATAATCAACAAAAGCAATGCACTTTACAAGGATGCGCTAATTGAAGAAACTCTAGATAGCTTTGTTATTCCTCCACCTGCCCCACCCCCACCTCCTATCAGCACGCAGCCCAGTGTGGCTAAAGTTGTACAGCAAAGGACCTCTAAGCTATGGGGTGATGTAACAGAGGTGAAAAGCCCAGTTCTCTCAGGCCCAAAGGCTAATGTCATAAGTGAATTGAACTCCATACTACAGCAGATGAACAGAGAGAAATCCTCAAAGCCTGGGGAAGGATTGGAGTCGCCTACAGGAACAAAACCTGCAAGTCTTAGTACAAGGTATGTGCAACTAAAATGTTTTTTAAATCTTTCCTGCCTGTAAGTTTCCATTAGCTTTGCTTTGACCAAAATAATTGTTTTAAATATCACGTAAACGTTTGTAAAAAAAAAAGGCAAGTTACTAATGCTCTGGCATTGTTTTTTACATTGTTAAAAATCCACAAGTTAAACGTGATGCCATGTTTTGTCCTTCTCTGTAGTATACAGTAGTATACAGTGGTTTGAGTTATTTGGTTTAAATTGTTTGGAGAGGAGTAGCAATGAAACTTGTCCTTTAGCCTTTTCTAGCATGACTAGAGAAAAAAACCAACAAGACTTTTTGCCTCTAATAGTTCAGAAGAAGGTGGAATATTAGCAGATGCAGCCTGGCATGAGTGGTATAAATGGCTTCAGTTTGGAAAATTCCATTTTCTACACAGCTTTTAAAGACATGAGAGGTCTGTCCTTTCCATCTCACTGATGCATAGAAGTGCCAAGGCAAATACTGCATTACTCCTTAAGATAATTTTATCCACATGGCTGGAACAGGAGGGTGGAGTCAGCTGTTTCTGCCCAGAGACACAGTTCATTGGTCTGTGACAATCCTACCTTCAGCTAACCTGGCCTATAAACATTTAAAGGCTTCACGTGTCCTGCTTATTTTTGAAGGTGACATTCTGAAATGTCTTGAGCCTTTTGTGGAATTGTTCCACTGGATGTGAGTCCTAGGTGACAGGACTCTTAGCTTTTAGAAAGTGGCAATTCAGGAGAAACAAGAATTATAATGATCTATAAAGGAGCCACCTCTGAACCTCCCAGGGCCAGTTGATTAGCAACGTCCCACATCAGGCTTTTGCCAGATGGTGAAAGGCTTTATGTGTTGGAGAAGCTGCACAGGCACTTCCCAATTCACCACACTTCTCACATAAAACAGATGCCCCAAAGGGATTCTCATAAGCATGGCCGCCCAATTCTTGTGATTCTGCTCTCTCAAAACGGGTGGCAATCACACAAATGGGTATGCAAGGCTCCATGTGGCACCTCCAAGTTACCTCTGTGTAAAACCACAAGTTATTTTAGAGATGGGTGTCTTGTGCTGTTCCACCACTCTATTAAGGCTATTGCTGCCCAGTAAACATCTTGACTGTCAATAGATACCACAACATTATATTTGTTCTGTATGTAAGCCTTGTGTGAGTTGTTTATTTTTCCATAGAAGCAAGAGAAGGGTTCATAAGGTGCACTTTTTTGTTATAAGGTATCTATTTTATTCATTTCCCTGTCTCCCCTTTTTGTCCACAATATCTTTGTCCACAGATCCATCTGCATATATTCATTTAATCTCATATCCCTCCCCTGAGAGAGTCAAACTATCAAAAGTATCTGTTACTCAGAAAAGCACTTTTTTCTGTTGAAGTGCCGTCCTTGTTCCAGGAATCTGCCCTGCTGATTGCTGTGGTGCTTCAAATTTGTTTCAGTGGAAGGAGCCAGTCTGTGTACCGAGTGGAGTGCATAGGGAGACTTTGCTGGGTTTAGAGCACAGGATAGTAGAAAATCCAAGGACTCATCAGAGAGCGTGTCCAGAACAGATTGCTGGATCAGAACGATTCAATAATAATTACACTTTAGCTAGTTGCTTGCTTGTCCTAAAGATGTTATACACTTTGTGCCTTGTTTTTGTGAGTGAAGGCGAAGATCCTAACCTATGCTTTACTGTTGTGCAGTTCGTTGTATAATTATACTGCATAATGTTTCCCATGATACATATCTCTCTGTAGCACAGTTTGTTGCTTGCAGTGGATAAACTTCCAGTTGGTTAGGATGCTATCCTATGCATGTTCAGATGGAAAAAGTATTTACCCTGAAGGAGAATTTGGCTGGGAGATCCTGGGGGCTGTAGAACCTTTTTCTGTCAAAACGTGCATCAGATTGGACCCTTGCTAAAATTAATTGTTAAAATCTGGATGCAGGTGTGAATAAGTGCACATTTTTTTGGAAAATTTATTTATTTATTAAAACATTTCTATGCCGCCCCATTCACTGGAGCCTCGGGGCGGCTCACAACATAACATTAAAATACAAGAAATAACAATATAAAATAAGTTCTTAATTTTTGCTCTGTGTCAGATATAACTGGCTACCTTCATACAATTTTTAAGCATTTGGATGATTACCCTTTGCAAAATTCATCTTCAGTCAACTGCTGTGACTCTCCAAAGCCGTATCTTTTCAGGCATGTTGAAATCATGCTTGTTTTTTGGGTAGTATTGTTTATTTTATTTTTACCGACAACAGAACAAATTAATTCCATAGCTAAATGCAACCCATAAGCATAAAAAATAAATCCTTTGCTGTAAACTATGTACCTTCACTCCCCAAGAAGCAGGTAAATAGATAAATGTTTAATCTGCCTCTGAAGCAGATTGTTGCTTGGCAACGTAATAATCAGGGATCCAAGCGATAATGACAGTATCAAGAGAATACAGCAAGTAGCTATAAGATGAAAAGAAAAAGAACTATTTGTCCTGCTGGTTTATAGCTTCATTCTATTCCAGAATGCTATTGCTGCTCTAACAATGGAACTAATGAGCTTTAACAATAGTTACAGTGGTCCTAACCTGAAACTGTTAACTGAATATCTCATTCAGAGAAAATTCTGTTCTTTTGATTCCTATTGGTATGCTAGCAATTCTTCCCCCTATTACCTGTTTTCAGTCCTTACCTCTGCAGTTGCCAGAGGTATTCAAGGTATTGCATTATTATACATTAATTTACTGAATTGTGAACTCCTCAGTATCAATGCAATTTTATTACAGTCAGGTAAGTGAAACATGAATATATAATAGAATGGTATGCATTGGGACATTGAACTTCATAATTAAGCCAACAATTAGACATTTCTTTAAGTTAAACTTTATTGTGTCCATTACTGCCACTTCATCTTGTTAATTGTTTGTCAACAAATTTTGCAGATGCTTTTGCTTTGTAATTTTACAGTGTCTCAGTCATTCCATTTTGTCATTTTATTTGCTCTCATGACTGCCGTTAACAGAAGAGGGTCATGCTGAAGTGCCATGAAGTAAGTGAAGACCAAAAGGCATAGAATATTCTACAATGTGCCTTCTGTGTTTTGGGTTCCTTTTAAATCTATGCATTATATCACATTTTCTTTCATTTATAATTAGATTAGATCATTCTCATATCTTGAAGTAGTAGCCATTCTGTAAAATAAACTGCATCTTCAACATCTGATTTTTTCAATATATATTTCAGGATCACTCAGAGGTACCCTGTTTAGGAATTGGTATAGCTATATTGTAGAAGAATTTAAATTAAAGTATGGGAATTGATGCAAAGGACAGACTTAGCCATGTTGTTGAAATCAATGGCCAAATTAAGTACTTGATATATACTATATTATGCTGTGACAATGAAGCTTCTGGCCTAGTGGGGGGTGGGGGTGGAACATTCAGTGAGCTGAATATTTGCAGTCCGGTTTTGGGAGAACAAGTAAGGGTTAGTGTGGCTGGATTGCTGATTCACGCAGAGGCAGAGTTAGCACCAGAAAGAGGTCTTAGGGTGCAAAGAAGATAAGGGACAGGAAGCCCAGGTTGAAGAAGACTGGAGAAAGTGTGCAGAACAACCAAGGGTCTAGTAAATAAGAATCTAGCAGAGGAGCAAATGATGAGTGATGTTTGAGGAAAGGAGCAGAGCAGACAAGAAGGGCTAAGGGAGAAGTCTCTGAAGAAATTCCACACCGTTTAAGTCAGGAATGACATAGACTGATAGGATAATATTGTTGGAAGAGGCCAGAAGGCCATCAGGTCCAACCTCCTGCTATTGTGAGACATGAAGTTACACCATCCCAGTTGGATGACTGTCCATGACCATTATAGAAGAGGAGGGACACTGTGGATAGAAAATGTGTTTGCTAAGTCAGGGATCTAGGATAATTCTGTCAGCTGTGTTTTTTACCCTTGCTGCAGCACCATGATCTGGCAACACAGACCAAGAGGCAGTGGGGTCCAGTTTCACATGATGATGTAAACTGGCCAGCCAATTCTTCAGCTGCAGTTTGGAGTCTATAACTGTATTGTAAATTGTAGATTGGCTGAACTGGTGCAGTTGAGTTTTTCTACATGAAACACTGTATGCTCAACACTCACTATTTGTGCTTGTTTGCAAACTCTTAGGTATTGATGTGACCCTCCAATTTTGATTCTGTTTTTACCCACCACTTTCAACAAATATTTTTAGAAAAGGCAAATGCAGTATTTTTTGAAGAAACTGAGAGAAAATGCAATTTCCATTTGTGTATTTGAGCTATTCTGCTATACCAGAGGTGGCCAGACTTGCTCAATGGAAGAACCACATACAGTAAATGTCAGATGTTTGAGAGCTGCAAAATAAACTCAAAAGAGTTGCATGCAGCCTTGTTTTGGCCACCCAGTGCTGTACCATGGTGCCATTTAGAGGTTTTGTAATGGAAAAACAGGGAATAAAATGCACATGTAGCACTCTGATCTCAAAGTACAAACAGTGAATAACCAGCATTTGGAGAAAAGCTTTGTGAGTGGTGGAGCACTGAAGAAGAAATGGAGAAGAACAGATAACTCAGTCAAAACCCTAATAGAGCCTATAAACAGGGGAGACTGTGCTGGGCTGTAAATGGAGCGGAAGAGTAAAAAGGAACTGTGGACTGGAGATGATGGGCCAGGGTATCAAAGGCCATAGGTTGCTGGATTTACAGTCCAAAGCCTAACAGAGCTGCTGTCCAATTAAGGGCCAGAACAGACATTTATTTAAATCTGTGTCTAGCAGGTAGGTATTATTACTGTTACTGCAGAATCAGTGCAGGGGCTCTCAACATAATAGCACTGTGCCACATGTGTTCCAGTTAGTGGTTTGGGGGGGGGGGGGGAGGAAGCTAGGAGAATGAGAAGATGCCTTTTAGCAGGGCAGTTTGCTTGTCAGCCTTCTCCGCATTGACTACCCTGCCTGGCAGCAGCTGTCCAAGGTCC